CGGCGGCAACACCTCCGGCGGTGAAAAGCCGCCACGACCACGGCCGCCGTAAGGCCACAATCACGCAGCTTCCCTGGGGCCCTCAGAGCGGTTCGGCCTAGGCCGATCGGGCTTGATGACGCCGCACCCCACTTCTCCTACCGACTCTCCACAACCCGCCCGGTGTAAAGGGGAAGAAGCCGTCGTCGTCATCACGAAGGTAGAACCATTTGTCATACCAACGACGGTTGATGATGCCACCTGGCTAGGGATGTAGAGGTGTCGCTGGTCTTGGCGCACTGAAAGGGTGCAACCGCCGCCTCGCGCGCTTTCCGAGCCCCCTTCGCTCTCGCCGACTTGGTGGTAAAAACCTACTCAAACAATGGAGCCACAGCCCCAAGTGGGGAGCGATCCTCAGTACCCTCGCAAACGGCGATGGCGAAGATGGGCGCCATGCGATGGAGTTGGGGCTGAAGTTGTGGAGCTCCACGCCATAGTAGTGCGGGCGCCCGCAGATAAATCGGTCCGCCGGCAAGCCAAGGCCTCGCCGTGGAAGACGACGAAGCTCACCACGTAGCCATCACGCGGCCTCGGCTCCGACTCATTCCCCGGAGCAATCCACTCCGGCTCGTCGAGAATCGGTGATCGGGCGGAGGAGACCGGCGCCCACCGGCGATCGCAGCTTCTCCACGGTGACGCTGAGACCACTCCTGTGGATCCACCGGAGAATGACAGACCGCCACCATTGCGCTGGTGGAGGACGCCGCTACGGCGGTAAATCTCTCTCTCTCTCTTTCAATCGATCTCTCACGCCTTCTTCTCCCCGGCGCTTTACGCCTCAAAGAATGGCTTGAAGCGGCGAAAGCAAATGCGTGCAAGGTAAGGAGGGAGGGTGAGGCTCTTTACGATTTGGCGCAGGGTAAGATGAAACCACTGGGCGATTTAAATCGGGAAGTTTCCTCAGATCCGCGCGATATAATCCAGATCCGATATCCGCCCCGCGTGCCCACCTTCTCCACATTTAATCGCTACAGACGGTTATGTCCCATCCATCGACACCACGTCGCGCGCAAAGAACGGTAGCTCCCGAGAAGATCGCCTCAAAAGACGCTACCGGGCGTTGTTAGCCGATGGAAGGAAATACCCCCCACCGATTCCTTCCGAGCTAAGGGAACGGGCACCGAGCCCGCCACGGTCCAGAGGTTCAAGGTGGGCCATTTATGGTCTCGACAACCGCCTCGAGACGACAGAGAGTCGGGGACAACTATGGGCGAGCCCGTACATGGTCGAGAGGCCTGTGCAAGCGATTGCTTGGGATGCCCTAAGTCGTGTCCGAGACCAAGCAGGAGTTCTCTAAAGGGATCCCACCGTAGAGGAGGCACCGAGCCCCTAGGGCCAATCGAACGGCCCCGCACCCGCTAGAGAAGCCTTCCGGTATTTTTTTGGAGCTGCGTCTCGACCACTAGCCGACCCTTATCGAATGGGGCACGGGCCTCCACTCGGACTTACCCGATAAAAGCTCACCGGAAATGTCACGCTCGCGCCACCGAGGGTAGCTCGGCATGTTCCACCCTCCTTCCGAGCGAAAAGGAAGCGCGAGGGTCGATAAAAAGCGGGGGAACTCCCGATCGCTCTCTCGCCCGTGCGGAGGCTCGGGGCTCTTCCTACAACCTTGCCGAGACCCAGCTGGCCTAGGCTCGCGCACGCTGAAGGGCTCGGCAAACAACCCCTCCTTCCGAGCGAAAGGGATGCGCGAGGGTCGCACAAAAAGCCAGGGGACCTCTCGATCGCCCTCTCGCCACGTGCGCGGAGGCTCGGGGCTCTTCCCGCAAACCTTGCCAAGACCTGGGCGGCCTAGGCTTCGCACGCGAAGGGCTCGGCAAACAACCCCTCCTTCCGAGCAAAAGGGATGCGCGAGGGTCATATAAAAGCCGGGGAACTCCCGATCGCCTCTCGCTATTGCAGCGGAGGCTCGGGGCTCTTCCCGCAAACCTTGCCGAGAAGTACACCCCGAGGATCGAAAAAACACGACGAAAAAGGGCACCGAGCCCGCCACGGTCCAGAGGTTCAAGGTCGGGCCATTTACGGTCTCGATGTACCGCCTCGGGATGACAGAGTCGGGGACAACTATGGGCGAGCCCAGACATGGCCGAGGCCTGTGCAAGCGATTGCTTGGGATGCCCGAGTCGTGTCCGAGACCAAAGCAGGAGTTCTCTAAAGGGGATCCCACCGTAGGGAGGCACCGAGCCCCTAGGGCCAATCGAACGGCCCCTGCACCCGCTTAGAGAAGCCTTCGGTACTTTTTTGGAGCGCGTCTCGGACCACTAGCCGACCCCTATCGAATGGGGCATGGGCCTCCACTCGAGACTTACCCGATAAAAGCTCACCGGAAATGTCATCGTCGCGCCCACCGAGGGTAGCTCGGCATGTTCCACCCTCCTTCCGAGCGAAAAGGAAGCGCGAGGGTCGCATAAAAAGCCGGGAACTCCCGACGCCTCTCGCCCGCTGCTGGAGGCTCGGGGGCTCTTCCTACAACCTTGACGAGACCCAATGGCCTAGGCTCGCACGCCAAGGGCTCGGCAAGCAACCCTCCTTCCGAACGAAAAGGATGCGCGAGGGTCGTACAAAAAACTAGAAGAACTCATGACCGCCCTCTCGCTCCGTGTGGAGGTTCGGGGCCTCTTCCTGCAAACCTTGCCGAGACCCAGCGACCTAGGATCGCACGCAAGGGCTCGGCAGGCTCGGGTGCTCCTCCTGCACCCCAAACAAGCGACCCGAGCTCGCTCTCATGGGTCAAGCAAATGCGATAGAGCGCCTTACTCAACGAAGAAAAAGCCCCTAAAGGAGTAAACTCACTCCTCTAGGGCCTCGGGTTACTACACCGTGGGTGCAGCTCGCACACACCCACCGTAATCATGAGTATAAAACAAACCCAACAAAAGCCACTGAGAAACAAAAGTCTCGAAAAAACCTCGGGGAGAGTATCCCACACTCCCGCCCGAGGCTCGGGGGCTACTGTCGGATACCAGAAAATGGGGTAACCCAAGCAAAGATCGAAAAACTGCTTAGACCCTAAAAACAGAACCAACGGAATAAACAAACGAGGTCTCGGCCGACATCTCCGATTCGCCCGAGACCCCATCGCCGAGCCCCAGCGGAAGCAAACAGTTCTCCGATTCGCCCGAGACCGCCTCGTCGAGGCCCCCGCGTCGAGGCCCCCTCGCCCGGGGCCTCGGAAGAAGTGCCGATTCTCCGATTCGCGCGAGGCCGGCTCGGCACCAACCCCGTGACCGCCTTTTTGACCAAACTGCTCTGACCGAACGTCACATCCAGGCGCCCAACCACTCCGACAGACGCATGATGGCACAGAACCATGGTGATCGGCTACACGCCGGTCGCGTCAACCCCCGCCATCCGAGACGGCAAGCAGAGCAGCGGGTTACCACCACCGTGGTCGCTTAACTCCCGCACTCAAGGACATCGCAACGTGGGGAGTCGAACGGGTTCTCGAGCCTCGAAATCAGCCGGACCGACCACTCCGCTCGCCCGAGCCCCCTCGACTGCGGGGCCTCGGATTCATCGATCTTACTACGCCGCCCGTCCGCCCGCCCGAGACCCCCTCGGAAGGGCCTCGGACGAATCGGCAAGGCTCCGCTTCTCGCCCGAGGCTGGGCTCGCCCCACAACCTCGTCGCCTCCGCCTCAAAAGTCTCTCTAGCAGTCGTCACATCCGACACGCGCTTCGCCGCACCCACTACGTAAGCCATGATCGGCGGCAGCGCCGCAACAGAGCGACGGACAACGGTCGATCACCTTTTTACCATCCCCATCGACAACACAGTATCAGATCCTCAGAGGCGCACGTCTCGCACTATTCCGCTCGATGGTCAGCCGAGACCCCAGATCCGCACTGGTCACTTTCAGGGCCTCGGCACGGCAGGCCTAAGACAACAGCCTCGGCACAACAGCCTCGGCACGACGAGTTCCTCGACGACCGGCCACGAAGGCCGCCGAGCCTCTACAATCCACCAAGTCAATAAATGCGCAAAGATGTTACTTGCAAATGAAGACCATACCGATTAGACATCTACGGGAACTCCCACGACAACGCCATGCTTCTCCAGGAGTAAATACGTCATCGAATAGTCCTTGCTCCACGTGTAGCTCTCTTATGTACTCCTGGTTTCCTCCCTGTGGCTATAAAAGGAGGCAGCCAGGACCGTTTCTGGAACGACGGATAGAATCACAGATACTCGCACGAACAACACGCCTCGTTCTGTAATTCATATCACCTCCCCTCACAGAGATCTGGGACGAACTCCCTCTCTCTCCTAGCTTGTAACCCCCTACTACGAGCACCCCGGTGCAAGGAATACAAGAACACCTTCTTAGACTGGACGTAGGGCATCCATTGCCCGAACCAGTATAAACCTTGTGTCTCTTTGCATCTCCATCCAGAATTGGGAGCACGCAGCACAAATTCACTAGTCGGTTAAGGACCCCCGGTTCTGAAACACCGACAGGTATACTTCCACTCATGTTGTCCTCCATCTCTCTAATTTTCATATGTTTATTTTTTGAATCGGTTTAGTCTATATTCATATGTGCATATTGATGATGCTGTACAAATGTACGAGAGGACAGAACCTTTTACCATCATGCATTGCTGGAAAAAACTTCGCAATGAGGCCAAATGGAACAATAAGTTTCTTGAGCTAAACAACTGTACATCACCGGATGGAATGTCATCTCCTCCAACTCAAAGCCATAGTGTGGCTAGCCATGCAGAATCTGAGAATGAGAATATAGACACATCACGTCCTGAGGGTAGGGATAGTGCAAAGAGGCGTAGATCAAAGAGCTTCACAGAGACATCGTCATCTAGTACGGCTGTTGAAGTCCTCCAGCGGTTGCAGGAGAAATCAGAGAAGACCGAACAGAAGCAAGATCAGCAAATAACTGAAATCCTTAGTAGGAAGGATGAAAAAAATTAGAATTCAAAGGGATCTTTTCAACCTTCAGAAGAAGCATATGAAGATGAGTGTACAGCAGAAAAAGAAGGAAAATGCGATTAGAGAGAAGGAGTCAGAGGCTCACCTGATATTAGCTGAGTCTAGTATTATGTCAGTTGACATTGAGAATGTCCCCCTTTATCTGAAAAACTATTATCTTGGCATGCAGCGGCAAATCATGGAGCGCAGAGGATTCATCAGCCCCTCGAACAATGAAGACTAAGGAGCGTGTGTTAAACTTGAGTTGAACTAGAGTTGAATAAATGTATTGTGTGCAACTTTTCTATTATCTATTGAACTGATGTATTATCTCTAGTGTTGTGAACTGTTGTTTGATCTTTTGGTAAGCACTGGCTGTGAATGAAAATCCTCATGTTTGCAATATCTGAATGTTAGATGCATGAGTTTGATTTCTTCAGGTTTCATTCTTGCAAGCACTTATTTGATTTGTTTAATTCCTGTGAGAGTTGTAGCCTTAATCTTGCTCTGTATGAATTAATATCCTGCTGCTTGTCAAGTTTGCCTGAGACTTTGCTCAGTTCGTGTGTAACAACCGGCTACCAAGGCTTCATCCTTTTTGTTATGTCATTTTGATGCAATAGGGGAACCATCTTTTCAAGCAATCATTAGTCTGTGACTGAAGCTTAATTTATTCTCTTTGCTTGAGAAATGTACTTTGTTGTTCTGCTGCTCAAGTTGGACTGACCAGTTTGCTTGAGCATTGTTTCTTCAGCTGCACCTGAGTTCAGCCAACATTGTTGTTTTCTGTATTTTTAGTAGCAGCTGTGAGCTCTTGCTATTTTCTAGCGCATTGTTCTCTGCAAGTGCAGTACCCATTTTCAGCAGCTAGTCCTAAAGCTGTTTTTTTCCAAGTTGCAATTGCACCATAGAAATTCTTGTAACTATCTATTAGTTTCCTATGTAATTGTTTGGCGTGCAGGCATGTATAATTTTGTGGGTGAGGATTTCATTGCCGAGCTTATATGGATAGCATGCAACTATCTATATAAGCTAGCTGCAACCCGCTGCAATTAGAATGCAACTGGTTGCATCAACTATATGCTGTGTCATTCTTTTAAATGGCTGCAGAATGTGGAATTTTTGTAGTCAGTATGTGTCCATAGTTGTAGTTATCCTATATCCCAAATTGTAACTGAGCTCCAAACAACATTTTGTGTCTGAGAAATCAGATGAACGGACACCTAATTAACCTTTGTGGCAAGTAGCTAGCACTGAATTAGCTGAATTGACAATGACAAGCTAAAGAACAAGGGTAATTGGTGGCAATTCTACTCCTTTATCAGATACAGATTTACATCTATTGCAGGCAGAGTGCCAAGTAGTATTTGGTTTCAGTGGATTATCTCATTATCGTCATCAGCCAGTTTTTTTTACATCTCAGATGTTTGGACTCTGAAAAAATACTCTAGAAAACTTTTGTTTTACCAAGAATCGATCAGCATTATAAATCACTAATTTTGTGCCTGTCAGTTGTCAGGTCCTCATAGGAAAGATGCTTCAGCAAGCATTTAGCTCATATCAACAAGTTTACGCACTGATAAACCTGATTCCTGATTCGACACTCCCCTGAAGTTCTAGCATGCATATCCTCCCCCTCAAGATGACTCTTATCACACAGCTATAAGTGAATTAAGAAATCAACACAATCTGCACATAATTAGATTCAAGCCATCTAATCCTAGATAGAATAGAAAAGGGATTGCAGATTCCCATCCACCCCAACTGCCGAGAACATCAATGCGAGCTAGGCTAAAGCCAAAGCTTATCCAAGCAAGCATGGCCAAGAACAGAAATAAGTGGCATCAGCCAAAAAATACTGTTAAACTTATCAGTAGGAGCCATCCAATCTGTGGCGACAATGAACTCAAGAACAGAACTGACCATCATATATTTCTTATCAACAAGCAACAAAATATCTACATGTGTCGGCTGCCAACAAAATACAAAGGCCTTATCAGTAGGCTGCCTGCAGCTAAACCTATAGCTACATACAGAGACGGCAACAAAAAAACTAAACCTACAGGTAAATACTTTAGTTCCTGTTATTAGGACCAAAAGGACTAGAGCATTGGCCGTAAAGCTTCCACATGTGTTCCATCAGGTCGTTTTGAAGCTGAGCTGCTGTCTCTCTATCCTGAATGATGTTTTGAGCATCAACAAGTTTCTCAATTCCCGGGATTTCTCTATCCTGGTTAATTGGTGGGTCAACCACTCCAGGCCATTCTGATGGGTGGATATTAGGTAGCTGAACCCCACGCTCATCTTCAACTACCATGTTGTGAAGTATGACACAAGCACGCATAATGGAATTAAGTACTTTTTGATTCCATAAACGAGCTGGCCTATGCAAGATTTTCCACTTAGCCTGTAGGACACCAAAAGCTCTCTCCACGTCCTTTCGACATGACTCCTATTGCTCTGAAAATACCTTTTGCTTGTTGCTAACTGGCAAAGGAATGCTTTTCACTAGTGTAGCCAAATCGGGATAGATGCCATCTGCTAGGTAGTATCCAAGGGAATATATGTTGTCGTTGACATGGAACTCAACAGAGGGTGCCCTCCCGTTAGCCAAATCATCAAAAACATTGGAACGATGCAAAACATTAATGTCAATATGAGACCCTGGTAAACAAGCATGCCAAATCCGAAGATCCTCGGTCGCCACCGCCTCAAGTATTAGAGTTGGCTTGCCTTTGTGCCCTCTGTACATGCCTTGCCAACCAGTCGGGCAGTTAGACCATTCCTAGTGCATGCAATCGATGCTGCCTATCATTCCCGAGAAACCTCTAGCCAAATTGATGCTTAATATGTGCTCTATCTCCTCACTTCTGGGAGGTCAAAGAAATTCTTTGCCGAACACCTCGATCACAGTCATAACAAATTCCTTCAGGGTCTCCAGGACAGTACTCTCTCCCATTTTCAAATGATCATCCAACTCATCAGCTGGGCCTCCATATGCTAGCATCTTTACAGCCACCGTGCACTTGTGAAGAGCAGAGAATCCTAACTGCCCAGCAGCATCTCTCCTCTGTTTAAAGAAGATATTCTTGGCAGTGACCTCATCCACTATCCGAAGGAACAATTTCCGTCTCATGCGGAACCTACAGCACAAAATCAGAATTGTTTATCAAATTAATTCAATGTGTCATGCAAATGGAAACTAGGCCAAAGATTGTACCTCCTTCTAAAATGTCCCTCATTGTAAAGTGGACGTTCAACAAAGTAGTCCTGATTTAGTTGCCGGTCTGCTGCAATTCGATCACGCTTGTAAGTCTTGTGGCCTGGCACTGAACCTCCCCAAGGGCGCTTTTGTGGCGTCTGGGTGAGGACGGTCACCGCAGCCATGATCTCATCGTCCCTGGAGTATGCTGCGGCTGTCCCGAACATTGAAATTTTGACATAATTCCAAGCCATGGCAACGCAACTGCAGTCCAGGTCTAAGGCCAAGCTGATTTAGGGACAAATTAGAACCAGACAATTCACAAGGATAAGCTGATCAGTTTTGTGAAGAAAAAACTGAAACATTCCCATGGGTTTAGATGCATAAATTACAAGAAACTGCAGTGGTTCAACCATTTAGTTGTATGCTATTTTAATCCTTTAGATAGACAACTAGACAACTGCACTTCAGTTCTAATTTAACTTGACAACAAACTGCTTGTACCTTGTGCACTTGATTATGCCTGCTGCTACAAGACTCCACACTGTAACAAGACTCCACATGCTTGATTATACCATCAGAACAAAGCTGTGCTGCTAAACAAATGTTAAAATCAGCATATGGAAAATATTCAAGATACAAGAAAAATAGAAAACAAGTGATTGATCTCGTATTTAATTTATTGACATGCACAGTTAAACTACAAATAATTGTGTACCTGTCAAACATTTTACTACTAAGGTATCCAATTGCATCTCTTAGTATATGTCAAACGTTGATACAAGAAAAAGGAGACTAGATGAAGAAGCATGCAGCAGTAACAATCATGAAGTCAGTTGCCCATGGAACATTATGCAAAGAAAAATACAGCATGACTTGCAAGTGGAGGTCATTGCAGTATTTAGTGTCTCGAAGCAGCAGGGCCTCGTATCTCATGGCAAGGCAGCTCTGTCAGTGTACATGAAGGGTAACAGTATTAGCAGAGAAGAACGCATCGCATGCTCTGCATTTGTGCGAACAGAAGTGAAAAAGGACGCATTGAAGCCTGATAAAACCAATGGTGAACACATGTTGGTTGCTGAATTTGAGTGTTGCACTTGCACAGTTGCACTGTTGCTTGCTAGTGTGTTTGAAACATGCTGCGATCATCTAAAATAAGATGCTGCAAGCCTGCAATTAGGAATGTATACTGAACTGAAGCACGACTACTGCGGGCGCACAAATCAGAGTAAAACTAAAACCACAGGTAGGGCGCATGAACTAGCAATAGCAGTGCATAATCTGCAGCACACCGTACCCTGCCGCGGCCCTTCTTCCTCGGCCGGCCCCCACCGTCGTCGTCCTCCCCGTCCTCGTCCTGGTTGGCCGAGTCCGCGTGGGGCAGGGCTCAGCGGGCGTGGCTGGGACTCCTCCTCGCGCCCCCACCTCCGGCCGCTCCGGCGTCGGCATCTGGGGCGGGGCTCAGAGCGGGCGCTGCCGGATCTGGTGGCAGGAGAAGTGGCGGCGTCGGCGCCTGGGGCAGCAGGAGAAGTGGCGGCGAGTTGTTAGGGCCGAACCGGCGGCGTCATGGCGCGGAGGGGTGGCATGGGGCGGGGGCGGAGGAGGGGCGTCGCAGGGGCGGTTCTGCGTGCGTGCGTGCGGCGCGAGGGACGGGTGCAGATGTGCGGTGACCGCCGCAACTGGCACATCACCACAGCTCACGGGCCCATGGACGCTGCTCCGTCTCCGCCGCGTCGCTTCCACATGGATTCCGTCGGCTACCTCGCTGCCAGTTTGACTCCCTTCTCACACGCAGCCGGGGCGGGCAAGATAATCCCGCCATGGAGCCAAGCCCGCAACGCGCGATACCCTCCCTCTGTCTACCGCGAAAATTTCATGGACCGCGCACGAACGAAACCGTCCGTGTTCCGACCTTTCCTTCTGCGTTCGTTGTTGAAGAAGGAAGCTTTTAGGGCGCGACCTTTTTATTTCAGGGAGGACGCATATCACGAATAGGTCTCCTATTTTGAGTCCTATCGTTGGAGATAGTCTAAGGATGCTTTTACATGGACTAAAAAAGCTGGACATCGATGCGGCAGGCTCGGGCAGGTTGAGTCAAGCATCGCATATGACAGAGAGGCACTGCTGCTGCTATCACTGTCAGCTGCATCATCCAATGGGTTTTCAAGGAGTAGTGGTATACATACATACAGTCGTCAGCCCGCATCAGTAAGCATGTGTAGTTCGCGAAATGAAAATTTTTAGACGTTACATCGGATATTTTAGGGATGTCAGAAGGGGTTTTCGGATACTAATAAAAAAAACTAATTACATAGCTCGCCTGAAAACTGCGAGACGAATTTATTAAGCCTAATTAATCTATCATTAGCGTATGTTAGTACTGTATCACTTATAGCTAATCATGGACTAATTAGTCTTAAAACATTCGTCTCACGATTTTCAACCAAACTGTGCAATTAGTTTTTTTTCGTCTATATTTAATACTCCATGCATGTGCCGCAAGATTCGATGTGATAGTTTGGGGTGAAAATTTTTGGGAACTAAACCAGCGCCCTATTTAGTTGCACCCCAAAATGCCAAAATTTTTAAGATTCCCCATCACATCGAATCTTTGGACGCATGCATAAAGCATTAAATATAAATAAAAAATAAAACTAATTACACAGTTTAGACGAAATCCACAAGACGAATCTTTTAAACCTAATTAGACTATGATTGAACACTAATTGCTAAATAACAACGAAAACTGCTACAGTGTCATTTTGTCAAAATTTTCGCATCTAAACTGGCCCCAGGCCTAAGGCCTCCAATCCAACCGTGATGGCGACGTTTGTTATATATTCAAATGTATACTATGTCTACATACCTAGCTTCATTCACTATGTATCCAGAAAAAAAGAACGAACGGAAGGAGTAACATACCTAAAATAAGAATTTATATAAATTATATGTCACGGTTAGTAATATAATTTTAAATCATTATGCATCATAGATCGCTCAGCACTGAAAGTCCTCGATCTGTACGGTGGCAAAAGCCTGGCATCCTTGCCCAGTGGGCCAGAACCACAAGAATACTCATCTCTTCGTCGGCTTACAATTAGGGAGTGCCCAGGTATCAAATCACTCCCTTCAGCTCTGCAGCAGCGACTGGCCGGACAGCGGCCTCGTGGAAGCTACGTCTGTAGATAATTCCCGTCTTGAAGTTGAAGGTACGCAGCAATATTCTTTCCCGTATATGGTGCATGCATAAATCTTGCGTTCATTTGTGTTTATCCTCTTGTAGCTGTTACCTAGTACGTAGTTGCATGCCTGTTTCCTGCCGAAATCCAACAGCTGCCCTCCTCGACCGCTGCTGCTGGCGTGCTGCTGGTGGGAACTGCTGGTGCTGGCATCATAGAACCATGTGTGCCCCTTGTTCTTTGATAGATAAGATAGGCTTTGCGTGTCAGCCCTGTCCATTTTTTTTTTTGGCGAATATGTTTTACTCTTCCAGCACTGCACGGCGGGTTTTCTACATTCTCAACTACATTTCCATGCATATGTCGACGTATTCACAATAGAGTTGTATTTTAAATTGGATCTAGTTCATCCAGCCTCTTTTCTTTACAAGAAACTCGAGGCCAAGTTTTTGACCGAAATTAGCACATATAGATTTTAAATTTTATTGAATTTCCACGATTCTACTGCAGATATTGTTCTTGTGTTCTCCATGGCTGCCTGGGCGTCGTCTCTGCCTCTCTGCTCCTCGCTTTCTCCTTGGTGGCTTTAATTTATCCACTAGAGCTTTCATATCTCGACTCTCGACCATGCCCATGAGTTATTTAAAATTGGACCAAATTTATACAGGCTGTTGACTACTTGGTCTTCGCTCAAGAGCAAAGACCCCAACCCAAATGTCGCTGTCGCCACTGATTGACATGGAGGAGCAACGGCAGCGGCTCGTCACCGGCGATCCAAATCTAAAGCTCCCTTTGGCACGGCTCATCCAAAATGGCTTCACCGGTGAAGCTAAAGCCGGTGAAGCCAAAAAAACTGGCTTTTCCCGGCTTCTAGTTCATTTTAACCCCGGCTTACAAAACGGCTTCACGCTACAGTGTCTCGATTTGCTCAAAATAGATGAAGCCGAAGCCGGCATAAGCCGTGTCAAAGAGACCCTAAAAGGGTCCGCTCTTCAGCTAACCAGGCACTCCCTTTTATAACATATATGTGACCCCCAGCGGATGCTTTTGCATTTGCATGGACTCAAAAAGCTGAACATGGATGCCTCAGGCAGGTTAAGCAACGCATATATATGATCGGATCGGAGTAGCAGTATAAATGTAGACGAAAAAAAAAACAAATTGCACAGTTTGGTTGGAAATCGCGAGACGGACGTTTTTAGCCTAATTAGTCCATGATTGAACACTAATTATCAAATAAAAACAAAAGTGCTACAGTAGCCAAATTCCCAAATTTCACTCAACTAAACACAGCCTAAAAATAAAAATAGAACATGAGGAGGGACGGAAAGAGAGGCACTGCTTCTGCTATCACTATCAGCTGCCTCCATCTGCTTTTCCTTCCAAGGAAAGGAGTACGTACAGTCGTTAGCCCGCAGCAGAAAGGCTGCCAATCCAACCGCGATGGCGGCCATATGGTTGTCGGATACAACAATCAATCAAGATGCCATGTTTCTTATAGTATGAATAGCGGATAATTAATCATCTGCCACTTGATTATGAACAATCAAAAGAACGGTAAACTAGTCAGGTAACGAAGGCTAGGCCCCACTACTTTGTTGGTCTTAGCGCTAACCATGTGATGGGGTCCTCGTTTTCCACTCAGGGCGGCTGAAGAAGATGTTTTCTAATCTTTTTTGTTATTTCTAATTGCTGAATGAACATGCTCTCTAATGGCTAGCTGTGACTATATGTTATTAGGAAACAACAATCAATCAAGATGCTCTGCACCCGCAAAAAAAAAAATCAAGATGCCCTGCTAAATGTTTACTACGTCAGGCTGAGCTGTTGCGAGCCTCCTATTTTGAGTCCTATCGTTGGCCAGTGCTGAGCTGTTGCGAGCTGGAAGATGCCCTGCACCCGAGAATAAAAAAAATCAAGATGCCCTGTCGACGGATTGAGCTAAAATGTTTAGCCCTTGTTTAGTTCGCGAAATTTGGATTTTGAGGCTACTGTAGCACCTTCGTTTTTATTTGGTAAATAGTGTTCAAACATGGACTAATTAGACTCAAAACGTTCGTCTCGTAATTTCCCAC